TCTTCTTTTACACTTGCTGCCACCAGGTGATCTCTAAATCACCATTACTTCAGATTCAGGTCCACACTTCAAGTTCTTTTAAATAAAACTTTGGTTTATTGATTAGAGATTCATAAATATCTTCAGTAGCTAATCACACCTAAATTTCCCAAACTACACACTCTATTACTCTCTCCTTTTCTCTCTACACACTGACTCTTACATTTCTCTGACTCTCCCTGACTGACTCAGGCTCTGCCTCTTATAGCATCTCTCCCAGCTCCGCCTCTAAGCAACATTAATATGCACGAACCATTCCATTACATAATATACATGAACCATAGATCTAATAAATGGTGAACGCTACAGACATCAAACACATATTCCAGGCTTTAATATTCTGAGTCCAACGAAAGGGATAGCATAAGCTTGAGAGACAAAGCTTACAAAATTATAAACTGAAATTTCTACCCAAGGAACAAGTAACCTACTCTCTAAATAAACAGGATTATTTCAAGTTAGACAGGAGATAACCCTATATCTACCAGGAATACTACTGTCCCTGCTGGAGGGGTAAGGTTTCTTAGTGAGAAAATTGTACTTTGGGGGTGGGGGGGAGAGTTGGCCTAAATACAATTCAAGCCTTAAGTCCACTGATTTCAGTGGGTTTAAGTACACCTAACTTTGGCGTGTAGCCACTAAGTTCAGAATGTTCTAATGATAGGATTAATTAGGACTATGAGAAAAGGCGTTTCTCAACTTTTGAACTGTTTGAATACAATTTACTCAACATGAGATATGCAAGGATATTTGTTATTTAATATTCTTTGAGTTTATTGTCTTCTGCAAGTACATACATAATTTTGATATGTAAGCTAAAAGGTCAACTGGGTTTAATCCAAAACAACTTATAAAAACATGTAACATTCATACACATTTCTCCTCTACAATCAGTTGTTTTAATTAAAGTTGACTACACTTTATCACCTTATCTGCTTGCCTCTCACCATGTAGGTAAGAAGGAGATTTTCCAATAAAGATCACAATTAAATGTTTACAAAAGGTCCATAAACGGCTCCATCTATTATAGCTGTAGCTATTTCTAATGAATAACCTTCACAAAGCCTGAACTGTATATAGTATTCCACTCATTTCTTTTCTTAGAAGAAGCTTTGTATTTGCAAGAGAAACCATTTTTTAAAAAAGGGTATCTGAAACACTGTAGGCTTATGGATAAAACGCAAAAATACACAATCATGCATCTATACTAAACTCTTCTGGTTCTGGATCTCTGCGGAAATATTAAAATACAAAGCTACTGTACTTATAATGGTCCAAAGACAACTTGTTTCACCGGTCAATTAACCACCAGCTACAGGGATCTTAGCCATGCTCCCAAGCAAGCACTCCTGCAGCAGCTAGACATCAAAGAGCTGAGCAGGGGCTGGGACCTTGCACTCCTTTCCTTCTGGTGAACTCAGGAAGCTCAAGGAGTGCCAACTGTCTTCCACTTTGCTACAAAATGTTCTGCCTTTTAAAATGCCTTTCATGCATGATCTGCTTTTTAAAATGGAAAATTATACAATCTGTTGTTTTAAACCATCCTGAAACATAGTTATAAAAACAGATGGCTTCATAGAATAAGAAAAATGTTCTGGAACACTTTTCTCCCAAAATTCAAGATACTCCCACTCTAGCAGCCGCCGCCATTTGGAACTGTTAGCAACAAAAACTCTATTACTCACATACACTAGAATAATTCAAAGGGACAAACTGCAGCAGCAAATTGCTGCTAGTTAAAAAGCTGACGTTTGTATTTCTTGTTGCATGCCAAGTCCTATGGCTGGTATGTACTGTAATAAGAAATATAAGCCCCAACTTCTGAACTAATGGCAATTTTCCACTGTTATTTATGACATCTAATGGAGGCATACTCTAGTAATAGGAACCTGGCCAGCAATACCGCACATCCTAGCTTCTTTTCCAAGGCAACAGTATTAGCTAAAGGATGATATAATGTGCCTCTAAATTAGACAGATAAAGTGTTAGCAGTGTTGACACAGTTTTTGAATACTGGTAAGGAACTGCCTGTGATGCAACAGGAGTATCCCAGGACATTCCAGAAGAGAGGAATAGGGGAGAACAAAGGACTCCACAATTATGCTCCTGATCTGTCCTAAGACAGTGTGTGGTCTGCAGACAGAAGTTGTTACATGCTACTGCCTTTTTGTTTTTTAACTGCTTGCACATCTATAGTCGTGCCTCGCTTTACGACTGCCCCGCAATTACGACGAAACCGCATTATGACGAAACCGCATTATGACGATCTCTTTGCGATCGCAATTGTGATCGCAAAATGATGGTCTAAATGGGGTGTTTTCGCCTTGCGATGATCAGTTTCCTGCTTCAGGAACCGATTCTTCGCAAAACGACAATTTTAAAACAGCTGATCGGCGGTTCAAAATGGCCGCCGGGTAAACAAAATGGCTCTCTGCTGTTTTCTGGGACGGATTTCTCGCAAGACAGGCAGCGAAATCGGCTGCCCTATGGAGGATCTTCGCTGGACGGTGAGTTTTGACCCCATTGGAACACACTGAAGGGGTTTCAATGTGTTTCAATGGGGTTTTTTTCCCCTTTACGATGTTTTCGCTTAAAAGCAATTTTCCTGGAACAGATTATTGCCGTTAAACGAGGCACCGCTGTACATCTAGGTCAAGAGAAACTGAGATATAGCTAAGGATTCATTTATGCACTTACAACTGGTAATTATATCATTTAAACTGGCACTCACAGGATTAGGGATCATTCTCCTCTACAGCCTGGAGAAAAAAATGAGGGCTCTTTCTACTGTGCCTTGGTGATCCTTAGGAAGCGAACTGAACTTCTCTCCATTTTCTGACTGTTTATCAGCCTCAGCAGAACAGGCACAAGTCTCCATTGCAGTTCAGAGCTGAAAAAAGACAGCAGGGACTCCCTCCTCGGTCATACTGGGCCCTGAGCATGGTGTGATGTCAAAGTTACTGCCCTTTCTACTGTGGGATGAACATGGTCATGGCAAGCATAGAGTGTGTGTGGCCAGTTGCAAAGTTTGGCCAAAAATGTACAGAACTCTGCTAAAAGCAACCTTTATGTACTCAAAAAAGCACCATCCTCATATAAGAAGGATATTTGCAAGCTGAAGAAAATCTGAAGATTTGAAGAAGTATTAAGAATCTTTTTGGGGGGAGAATCCTATAGAGGGGATATAACAAGGAGTAAGTATTCGCGGTGAGCATGGGATGCTGACATGATCAGAAGTGGAAAGAAAATGAATTCTCCTGGAAAAGGGCAAAAGCAGAACATTTTGAGCCATGAACAGGAGCAGTCCATGCTACCATGTTTCCTTGAAGATTTCATGTCTTTTCCCTATTTGTACTTTGCTACTCTGGGCTACCAAATTACCCTCTACCGCTGTGTCACTAATCCTACCCTCACTTTCAGCCTGGCAGCTAACCAGAACAAAAGCAGTCAGAGAATTTTTAAAAACTCCTTCTGTGTCAGTTCCATCTTTTGCACTTGCCTTCCTCTAGGCTTCTTTAGCATACTCCTACTTCAATCCTTAGCCCAGTCCTTTTCTTTTAGAGAAAAATATATATTCCCTTGAGCCTACACATTAATTTCCCTCCTACAACTAATTAAAGAAAAAAAGATGCAAAGAACCTTCATGGAGCTGCTACATGCCAGCAAAAAAAAATCTCAGAGCCATGTGATTTGTAGAAGAAAAACTTATGTTCAGCAATCCTGGTCATAAAAACGAATTTTACTGGGCAACAAGACAAATAGCCCTGCATTGTTGCAGAGAGCACTCAAATTGGTAATAGTGATGTGAACAGAAAAGTATTTTAATCATGAAAAACTGCTGTGAGAGATTTTAAAAATGAGGACTGGATTTGGAGGAAAGAGAATTTATATCCTCTAATTACAAACATACTGTGTACTTGCTGAGGACATGGGCCACCACTGTTGCTAGATTCAATAATCTCTAATGAGTGACCATGCTAACTGAGAATGATGGGAGCTGTAGTCCACCAGCTCTTGTGGATTTAAAGTGGCAACAACTCTGTAACAAACTGAATTTGTCTTTAGGTAGATGGTAAAGCAGATGAGGACTATGCATCACTCATACCTGATCAAAGAGTGTATTGCACAAAACAGTTTGCTTACCTCCTTTCTTGAACAGTTCATTTCCCTCTTCTTTCAATTTTATACTCTCATTTCTTCTCTTCTGCAATATACATAACACCATGTTAAGAAACAATATTTACCTAAAAGCAGAAGAGTAAACAAAGTAGAATAGTTACAGTTTAATATTAACAAAGTTGGAAATTACATTTAACTCTAATCTGTAATACTGTGATAACTACTAAAAAGCTTTTATATTTTTAATATATTGTCTCCCAGATTTGCAGATACTTCAATGTTTTTGATTTCTGAAAGGAAGCCAAGCTCCAAAATTTGGATGTAGTCTCACTCCCCTCCCACCACACAAGAAAAAAAAATCACACACAAAAATAAAAAAAACATCAAGTATTTGAGACTTTCCTTAATGTTACCTGTAAACAATGTAAACAAACCACAACAGCACATTCAGTTTCCTTAGTTTAGAAAGAGAAGAATCAAATTCTTAAGATACTGTCATACCAAATTCTTTATGAATGTGTAGCTGGTCTGCTGGCAACATGAGACAAATCACTTTGCACCTCACAGATATGGCTATATAGGCTATCATATAGCAATTTGTTCTAATCAACAATGAAAAGTGATTTCAACTTTGTTTTGCAACTCATGGCAAAGCCCACAAGAATTATTCATTTACCAGAGACAGCATAAGAAACCTTCAACATTAAAGGAAGAACATAATTTTAAAGTCATAGTGTTTACATTCATCCACATGTTTTTCAACAGTCTTTGATCTTTGGATAAGATAACAAGCAACATCTGTGGAAAAATAAGCTTTCCAGAAATACATCGCTTCACAAATACTTTTACACCCTCAAGTTTTGTTTAAGATTTCCCACCGTGGGCTACCCCATGAAGTTGTAACTTAGCAAATGTGCTGATGCATGACCTGCTAAGAAGAAAATGCCCAAACACAATCAATTACTTTATTCTGAAGCCTAAATTCTCCACCCCTGCTTCCCTTGTCCTCCTGCTCCTCTACCCTCTTTTCATCAGCCTCAAGTTCTCCTTAGTTTGGCATCCCCTCTACTCCCTTGCACATCCCAGACCCCTTGAGAGTCCTTTTAGTCTCACATCCATTGCAGCCAAGCTTGCCACCTTCTTCAATACTGCCCCCAATCTGCCTCCTAGCTCAGGGCCAACATATGACATCATAAAGGCTTAACCTACAACATGAAGGCTTGCAAGACAACACATACTCATTTAACTTAAACAATGAATACATATAAACAATTAAAGAGACATTCTTTTTTACATGTCTACATGTTCACTGTTTTAACATTAGCACCACTTATAACTCAACACCTAAAGTAACTCAAACCCACCTTTGCTACCAAACTACAGATAGAAGCCGTCTGTAGGATCAGCTTCATCTCAGCCTTAAGACCTTTTATTTTATTTATTGATTGATTGATTTAATTTATATGCCGCCCACTCTACCCAAAGGTCTCTTTTAGCAAGAGGTTTCATAGACTTTAATCACAGGAAAATGCTATCAGAAGTACTGTAGTGTATTTTCACATGATTATTCAAAGCAAATATATACTTTCCTTTGCTTATTTAAATATTTATGGGGCAAGAGTTCAGCTTAAATGCAAAACATCTTTCACTTATACATGTGAGAGGAAGATGTGTTACGTACTGTTGCACATCTTCCTCTCATAGGAATGTGGAGGAAGAAAGGAATGGCTAAATATGCACAATCTGATTTACATCTGCAATTAAGAATCCCAGAAGTTCCAATTGTTCCCACTGCATTTTAAGATATCTTCACAAGCAGTTATTCTAGCCTCAGAATTCTTTTCTACTCACAGAGGGCCATTTAAACCTGCCTGACCAACATACTGTCACTTTTGTTCAATGTGGGAAGCTTTTAAAAATGCATTTCATATTCATTTTAGTTTAGAGGAATAATCTTGGCCTGACTGAATGCTGCTTGCAAAGGCCAAAAAGAAAGTCTAGAAAGCTTAAGTGCCAAAAAAGCAGATGGCCACTATAAGCAACTATATGAGCACTGCTTTCATTGGGAATAAGCCACAGCTTGGAACATTAGCATTATTAACACCATTGTGTTGATGTTAAATTATTAAAGAGAATTGGGCAAGGTTAAGCCATTTAGAAAGGATATAAAATTAAATTGTTATATTGTTAATAAAACCCATTAATTATTACATTTTAAAAATCCATAAATGTCCAAAGAACCACCCCAAGTACTTCTAATATTAATGGAATCAAATAGAAAAATGTGAAAAATTAATCATTATTCAAATGGTTAACACCGTAGATAATTCTAAAATGACGAATTTGGGAAAATGGCAATAAGCCACAGCTTATTAGTATTTAACAAATTATTATCAAACTCTGGAATAATTCTATTGCAAGAATTTTCCCAGCAACCACTGCAGAACGTATCTTAAATTTTAATTTTATTCAAATTAGGCTTTGAAATGAAAAGGGCCAATGTGTAAGTGATTAAAACTGTACGAGTCCAGTGAATGTATTACAAGCACAGGGTGCTTGCAACTGTCTGGACCTTGTCCACTGACCATTTCTGATTTAGAGATGCATCAACAAATGGAATGGAAGAATCAGATGGCAACCTGAAGCAGAACAAGACAGCAGTAAGGAAAAAACACAATGCTTTACTAATATAGATTACTCTTAATGCTTAAAATGTGAACAAATAATGACCCTATATATTTCTTTATGTGCAAAGTATGACAGTCTCAGTTTAGTCATTTTAGCATCCACTGAGAGTTCAGCCATAACATGACCTGGATGTGATCCATTTATTTGTCTTCCTTGTGGTGCATGGAATCCATAAAGCTCTTTTCCAACACCACATTTCAATGATTTTTCCCCATCACCTTTCTTTACCATCCAGCTTTCAAATCTGTACACAGTAGTCAGGAATGCCACATGGATTATCTTGGCATTAGTCATAAACACATTCTAACTGTTAAGGATATTTGCAAAGTCCTTCAAGTCTCTGTGTCTTGATTGCAGTCCCTATTTTGCTAACTGAAACAAGGTATAGAAAAATCTTTGTTGTTGTTAAGTGCTATCAACTCGCTTTTTATACAGCAAAAAGAGTTTGAGATATGCAAGATGTTCAAGGATTGTATTACTACTGCCAGCCCAGTAAGTTTCCATGGTTAAAGCAGAGATTTGAATCCAGATCTTCTGAGTTATACTCCAAAACTCTGTCTACTACACCACAACAGCTTTCAAAAATTGGCAATTTTATTTCTTGATTGCCAATATTAAAATGATGCAACTATTCTACAGCTGTTAATCTCCAATCCTATTTTTGTATTTCTTTAACTTTCAGCATAAGACATTTCAAGCCACTGCTTCTTTTCTGCCATTAATATAGTGTCATCTGGGTATCTTAAATTAATGTGTCTTCTACCAATTTTCACTCTTCCATCTGAATCTAATCTAGCTTTTCATACATGTCTTCAAATAAGGTGAATGCATTAATGACAGAAAATGCACCCTTTTTCTGAGGCCTTTGCCCACTGGAAACTATTCTGTTTCTCCGTATTCTGTGCTAATACTTATCTCTTGCCCTGGGTATAAATTACACATCAAGACAGTGGCCACTATCCTGCTGCTTAGCATGTTAAATCACAGTAGAGGAGGCCTACTGAATCAATGGTGACTGGATTCATCCATAAGTGCCACTGATTCAAATTGACTTACTCTAACAATGACTTAATTTAGCATAGTAAATTATAGTTAAAGTAGGCCTGTTTGAATGAATGGAACTTATAGAAGAGCTGACTCACCAAATCCCCACTGATTCTATGGACTTACTCCACTGTAATTGACTATGCTGACATAATTTTGACCACTGAGTATCATGGAACACTCATTTTCTTTTAGAATTATCCATAACTTTCATCATTCACAGAGTGAAAGCCTTTACTGTGACTTGTAAAGCATTTTGTTTTCTTCTGAATTTCTCTGGTACATTCAAGTATCTACTAAATACTTGCATTATGATCTCTAATTTCTCTTCCTTTATAAAATCCTGCTTGAACATCAAGCATTTCTTGCTTCATATGCAGTGAAAGTCTTTGTTGTACAATCCTGAGCACTGCTTTCCGTGTACAGAAATTTAATGTGATGATCTTTTAGTTACTGGAACTGTTGTTGTCATTTTGCAGCAACTGCCACTTATAGACCTCTTTATACCTTACATCATACTCCTATGTAAAGTGACTAAGATGTGTGACCACTCCCAAGTCTCACCACAGCGGAATTCCTAAATGAATTATGCAAACATGTTCTTTGCCACTGTAACTCCCTGGGAATCTAGGAGTGTCACAGGATCAAGAAGGACTCCCAGGTAACAGGCTTGATTCTTCAGGTAAGTACAACTTCTTCCAAGAAAAGGCAAATCCAAAACTAGGCTTTCTACTGACCATCAGTTCCTTTGTCTTTTCAGATTTTTCACTCTTCTCTACCCATGATCAAACCTAGGAAATGTTCAGGATCATTGAACACTTTTTCAGTGTAGGTTGATAAAAAGCAACAGAGTGTTCTTTAGGCAGTAAAGACTACCTTTGCTGTCACCATGGCCTCTTATTATACAACATCTTCAGAGTTCCATGGTCCTAGAATTATTGCATTTTTTCAAATCTATTTAGATTTGGAATGTATATGACCCATAGACTGGAAATGTATATGAACATTTCCAGTCCAGGGGCCATAGAGTATTCTTGTTAGAACTTAAACAGATTCAGGCCATCTAGCTAAACAACAATGCAAGGGAAAGGGAAATGGTTTGATCCAATGGCTTTTAGTCTGGATGATCTGAGCAAGCTGTTTTGGAGGTCATTAATTCACAGGATCACCACAAGTCAGAAGTGACCTGAAGCAAATAACAATGATTTCCTTAACCATATCACAAACCACATCTTCTCCAAATCTCTTCGATAAAACAGAGAAAGATTTTTAAATACTAACATATTCCAATAGGCACTCAAATACTATTCCTAGATAAACTCTTTTAGCATGTGACTTAATAGGCTTAGCGGGATTTATTTCAAAATATGCAGAACAGGCTACAATCCTACAATTCTGAAATCTGTAAGACTTTCTTTCCAAAGGAACATGTGCAGGATCAAACTACAATAGTTTTTTAACAACCCTATATACAGAAAGAGCAGGAATACAAAGCATGTTCACTTGAAATGCATTTCACTTAAATCAATAGGTCTTACCTTAAATAAAATGTGATTTGGACTAGAAAGGCATTTAATATCATGTTCAAAACATATATTTGTAGTTTTAATTAAGCATACCTGCTTTTCTTCTTCTGACATATCTTTCTCAAGTTCTAGCAAATATTTTTCATCTGGCTCTGTTTGATTCTCTGAAGTATCAGCTTCTCCACTGTGATTAACTTCTACTGCCTCTGATGCAAAAGAGTCACTACAGTCATGGAAGAGGTCTTCATCTTCTCTAGCTGCTGTATCAGGACTTACTCCTTCTTCATCAAGTTTGGGGACATGTGCATTATGGCAGTTGATTTGGGAAGTGTTTTGCTGTTCTGAGAGTTTCAAATTTTCAACCAATTTTTCAGGAAAAACGTTATCTTCAGACTCCATATTGAGCCCACAGAGTGACTGCCTCTATGAATCAAAGAAATACAAATTACAAACAGCAACAGATACCATAAAAAGAACTTTAAAGGCTCACATTCTTAAACACCTACAGACTGATCCGTCTGTCTGACCATGTTTCCTCTGCTCTGCCACCTCTCCTTGGACCCATCTTTGAAATACTTAAGGAATACTTCATTATTCTCCAAACAGTATTCTATGAAATAGGTTGGAGTATAAAATCATGTTTGGTACAAGCTTCTTTCCCCACAATAAGAGAAACATGATTATGTTACCAGTTTTGCCCACCACTATGAACAAAGATCAAAATGGCTAAGCTGAAGAACTAGTGATACAGAATTCCAACCAGCTTAATACCTATTGCACCCTTACAGTTCAAATTCATATTAACTCAAATTGTATGCATGCCTTACAATGGAAATCATTGCTCTCTTCCATAAAGACAGTATACTAAAGAAAGGCAGCTTTATGTTGCACAGACAGTCTTTCCAGCTTAGAAAGTAGAAGAAATGGCATGTGTTTCCACAAGCAGGTGAAAACCTTTTTTTTCAGGCAAGCTTTTCCAGACTGAATGGCTGCCTGAGTGGGGGTTTTTAACTGGATCGTAGTACTGCACTGAATGCGTTTTGGCATTGTTTATGTTTTTGGTATTGTATTCACTGATGCTTTTAACATCGCATACCCCTTGTTACTAACTTAAACACTGTCTTTTAATTGTTGTAAGCCATATAAGGAGAAAGGTGGAGTAAAAATATTTTAACTAAATCACCAGATAAACTAAACCCATCTCCTAGGACACAAGAATCAAAAGCTATAAAAACAAAATCAATAGAAAACACAAAGCACACTGCCTTACCAGCCACTCTGCACAAGCCCACTAAAAGAAAGTGCCCAGTGTGGGCCATGGAGCAGCACAGAGCTCCTCGTGGTTCTTTTCATCCCCTCCCCCGCCCTACCAGAATCCCTCACTCAAAAAAAATGTTATCCCCCAAAAAATCTTAGAATTGGTGCTCCGGGAATCTTCCAGAGATCCATATGTCTACTTGCAGTTTTCAAGAATTGATATCAACTGACTGTGTCTGTGTGTTTAGTCGTTTAGTCGTGTCCGACTCTTCGTGACCCCATGGACCAGAGCACGCCAGGCCCTCCTGTCTTCTACTGCCTCCCGGAGTTGTGTCAGGTTCATGTTGGTTGCTTCGCAGACACTGTCCAGCCATCTCATCCTCGGTCGTCCCCTTCTCCTCTTGCCATCACACTTTCCCAACATCAGGGTCTTTTCCAGGGAGTCTTTTCTTCTCATTAGATGGCCAAAGTACTGGAGCCTCAGCTTCAGGATCTGTCCTTCCAGTGAGCACTCCCCCCCCCCATTTTTAAAAGTATGTGCAGCCCCAGAAGATCCAAGGGGCAGAAAAGTGAATCCTAACAACATCAAAGTTGCTCATTCCTATATTAGGCATGCATGTTGTTGTTGTTTAGTCATGTCTGACTCTTCATGACCCCATGGACCAGAGCATGCCAGGCCCTCATGTCCTCCACTACCTCTGAGAGTTGGGTCAAATTCATATTGGCAGCTTCAATGACACTGTCCAACCATCCCGTTCTCTGTCGTCCCCTTCTCTTCTTGCCTTCACACTTTCCCAACATCAGGGTCTTTTCCAGGGAGTCTTCTCTTCTCATCAGATGGCCAAAGTATTGGAGCCTCAGCTTCAGGATCTCTCCTTCCAGTGAGCACTCGGGGTTGATTTCCTTCAGAATGCATAGGTTTGTTCTCTTTCAAGTCCAGGGGACTCTCAAGAGTCTCCTCCAGCACCACAATTCAAAAGCATCTATTCTTTGGCGGTCAGCCTTCTTTATGGTTCAGCTCTCACTTCCATACATCACGACAGGAAAAACCATAGCTTTGACTATTCGGACTTTTGTTGGCAAGGTGATGCCTCTGCTTTTCAAGATGCTGGCAAGATTTGTCACCGCTTTCCTCCCAAGAAGAAGGCGCCTTTTAATTTCAGGGCTGCTGTCTCCATCTGCAGTGATCATGGAGCCCAAGAAAGTCAAATCTGTCACTGCCTCCAGAGCTTCCCCTTCTATTTGCCAGGGGGTGATGGGGCCAGTGGCCATGATCTTAGTTTTTTTTTTGATGTTGAGCATCAGACCTTTTTTTGTGTGTGCTTTCCTCTTTCAACCTCATTAAGAGGTTCTTTAATTCCTCCTTCTTTTCTGCCATCAGAGTGGTATTGTTTGCATATCTGAGGTTGTTGATATTTCTTCCGGCAGTCTTAATTCCGGCTTGGGATTCCTCCAGTCCAGCCTTCCTTCGCATGATGTATTCTGCATATAAGTTAAATAAGCTGGGGGACAATATACAGTACAGTCTTGTCATACTCCTTTCCCAATTTTGAAAAAATCAGTTGTTCCATGTCCAGTTCTAACTGTTGCTTCCTGTCCCACATATAGATTTCTCGGGGGATAGATAAGGTGGTCAGGGACTCCCATTTCTTTAAGATCTTGCCATAGTTTGTTGTGGGCCTCATAGACAAAGGCTTTTGCGTAGCCAATTATGCAGAAATGGATGTTTTTCTGGAACTATCTAGCTTTCTCCATAATCCAATGCATGTTAGCAATTTGGTCTCTAGTTTCTCTGCCCCTTCGAAATCCAGCTTGTACTTCTGGGAGTTCTCGGTCCACATAATGCTGAAGCTTGCCTTGTAGGATTTTGAGCATAACCTTGCTAGCGTGTGAAATGAGTGCAATTGTACGGTACTTGGAGCATTCTTTGGCACTGCCCTTCTTTGGATTGGGACTTTTCAAATCCTCTGGCCACTGCTGAGTCTTCCAAACTTGCATACGGAGTGTAGCACTTTAACAGCGTCATCTTTTAAGATTTTAAATATTTCAACTGGAATGCCATCACCTCCAGCGGCCTTGTTGTTAGCCATGCTTTCTAAGGCCTACTTGACTTCACTCTCCACTATGTCTGGCTTAAGGTCAGCAGCCACAGTATCTGGGTTGTCCAGGACATCCAGATCTTTCTGGTATAATTCTTCTGTGTATTCTTGCCACCTGCTCTTGATGTCTTCTGCTTCTGTGAGGTCCCTCCCATTTTTGTCCTTTATCATGTCCATATTTGCACAAAAGTTTCCTTTAATATCTCCAATTTCCTTGAACAGATCTCTTCATATTATTCTCCTCCATTTCTTTGCACTGTTCATTTAAGAAGGCCCTTTGTCTCTCCTTGCTATTCTTAGAAGTCTGCATTCCATTTTCTGTAACTCTTCCTATCTCCCTTGCATTTTGTTTCCCTTCTCTTCTCTGCTATTCCTATAGGCCTCGTTGGACAGGCACGTTGCTTTCTTGAATTTCCTTTTCTTTGGGATGGTTTTTGATGCTGCCTCCTGTACAATGTTAGGAGCCACCATCCATAGTTCTTCAAGTCAGGCACTCTGTCCACCAAATCTAGTTCCTTAAATCTGTTCTTCACTTCCATAGACTATTTATAAGGGATTTGGTTTAGATTATACCTGAGTAGCCCAGTGTTTTTTACTACTTTCTTCAGTTTAAGTTTGAATTTTGCTATAAGAAGCTGATGATCAGAGCCACAATCAGCTCCAGATCTTGTTTTTGCTGATTGTATAGAGCTTCTCCATCTTTGGCTGCAGAGAACATGAACAATCTGATTTCGGTATTGCCCATCTGGTGATGTCCATGTGTAGAGTCGCCTCTTGTGTTGTTGGAAGAGTGTTTGTGATGACCAGCTTGTTCTCTTGACAAAACTCTATTAACCTTTGCCCTGCCTCATTTTGAACTCCAAGGCCAAACTTACCTGTTGTTCCTTATATCTCTTGACTCCCTACTTTAGCATTCCAGTCCCCTATAATGACAAGAAGATCTTTCTTTGGTGTCAGTTCTAGAAGGTTTTGTAAGTCTTCATAGAATTGGTGAATTTCAGCCTCTTAAGCATCAGTGGTTAGTGCATAAACTTGGATTACTGTGATGTTGAAAGGTCTGCCTTGGATTCATATTGAAATCATTCTACCATTTTTGAGATTGTCTCCCAGTACAGTTTTTCCCACTCTTTTCTTGACCATTTCTTCTATGGAGTTCTTAACCACAATAGTAGATATGATAATCGACTGAATTGAATTTGCCCATTCTCATCCATTTTAGTTCACTGACCGCTAGGATGTCAAGGTTTATTCTTGCCATCTCTTGTTTGACCACATCCAGATTACCAAGGTTCACAGAGCTTACATTCCAGGTTCCTATGCAGTATTTTTCTTTGCAGCATTGGACTTTCCTTTCACTTCCAGGTGCGTCCACAGCTGAACATCCTTTCGTCTTTGGCCCAACCACTTCATTAGCTCTGGAGCTACTTCTACTTGTTCTCCACTCTTCCTCAGTAGCTTGTTGGATGTCTTCCAACCTGAGAGGCTCATCTTCTGGCATCATATCTTTTAGCCTTTTGTTCCTGTTCATGGGGGTTTCCTGGCAAAGATACTGGAGTGGCTTGCCAGTTCCTGCTCCAGGGGGGTCACATTTAGTCAGAGTTCTCCACTATGACCTGTCCGTCTTGGGTGTCCCTGCACGGCATAGCCCATAGCTTCTCTGAATTACTCAAGCCCCTTCCGCACGACAAGGCAGCAATCTGTGAAGGGGAGGCATGCATGCATGCATACATACATAGCTGGCTACTACAGCAAAAACAATGTGACACCTTAAACAATAACAAGTTTAATTTGGCTTTAGCTTTTAGGGACAGTGGCAGTTCATCAGATCTAGAAGAACTACAGAGCACTTCAGCACTATACCTGATGAAGTCAGATGGTGTATATGGAAACTTAGCACAAAATAAAAGTTCCTGTTTTTTAAGGTATCACAAAACCTCTTGCTTTTTAAATGCACTAAATATCCCTGGAACCGAAACTAGAGGCCATTATTACTGTTCACAGAAAGGAGATTATAAAGAATCTTCTCCCTTGACAATCCTCCCGCCTTTCCACAACACCTCCCTCCTCCTATACGTTAGCAAGGAACATACCGAGTGCGTCCGTGAATCCAATTCCTCAACTCAGCTCCCTTCCGACCACCGCTCGCTTTCTCGGGCAAACAGGCCCACACCAAAAACCACAACTCACTCTCCGCCCCTTCTCTACTTTACCCCAACAACTTCCGGTCGCTGTGTCGTCCGCTGATACGTTGCTTCCTGATCCCCCAGCTGACCAATGAGCAGCCGCAACCTTTGGATGACGTTGAAAATCGGAGCCTAGGTTCGGCCGGGTTTTTGCGGACGAGTCCCGGTGACGTCGCACGCCAGTCTTCGGGAAGATCCAATTGTTGTGACAAGGGCGGGGCAAAGGATTATGTAGAGCAGAATGGGTGGTGACTCACGAGCGGTGGACGATGGACGTGCTGTATTATTAAAAACCTTGCTCGCAATGCCATAAAGGCTCCCCTGTGTCTGTTTATTCCAGAATATGTCGCAGTCTAATGGAACTTGTTCCATAGTAAGATTGGTTATGGCTGTAGTAGTGAGGGAGGGAAGCCCCGGAAATATGCGTGGTAACTGCTTCGTTTCTGGTGGTGAGTTTAGGTCAGTGGTTCTTAACCTTGGGTTACTCGGGTGTTTTTGAACTGCAACTCCCAGAAACCCCAGCCAGCACAGCTGGTGGTGAAGGCTTCTGGGAGTTGCAGTCCAGAAACACCTGAGTAACCCAAGGTTAAGAACCACTGGTTTAGGTGATGCTCAGTGAAATCCAGAGGGCGAAAACTTCAGGCTGCCACCTTTTCCTTCCCCCTTCTGATAGTTCATATTTTGAAATAATGGCGGCAGGAGTTGCGGGGTGCCGCCTTGTAACTTTAATCTTTCGAAATGTGGGGCTGGAAAATACCGGGGACAACCAGAATCTTGAATAAGTTGGTCCTAGACTGAACCCAAACTGATCTCTTGACTAGAAACGAAAATGACTATAGACATACAGTAGTAGCCTGAGAAGACAAGACTGACTGGAAAAAAAATAAAAGGTAGCGGGGAAAACGGGAAACCTAACATGAATTGGATAGACGCAAAGAAGAACCACAGCGTTTAGTTTGTATTTGCAAGATCTGCAAAGGCTGTAAATGATCCGATCTTTTGGATGTACTTAATTAGGGTTGCCCAAGTTCAAAGTGGCACCTAACATCGTAGGAGTCCCATTGGCTCTTCCAGATGCAAATTTTTCGCTGTCAATGTTGGGAAGCTTGTCTCCATGTGGCACTTTTTCCTGTATCCATTTACTTGGAAGTAAGTCCCACTGAATTCTGGCTAGCTTACTTCTGAATAAATAGGAATAACTCACAGAATTGTTTTGCAACACTACTGTATATACTCTTACCTGAGAGTAAGTGCTGTTGAATTTGTTTCTGAATAGACGTGTATACGGTTGGACTGTTAAGACATCTTTGTTACTTTGTATCCATTTATATTCTTTTAGGATAACAGGTGATCCTACTGTACCTTTAAAAGGAACAGATTTCTTTTAGCATGAGCTTTTCTGGATTACACTCCATTTCCTGAGATTCTTGCACAATGAAAGAAATATGTTGGTCTTAAAGCAGCCCCAAAGCGCCATCTTTACCTATTTTTGTTATGCTGAAATAAGACTTAAGGGCTGTGAGCAGGGGTACTCAAAAAGAGTCTACCTCCATGTCCCACTGGCCTTCCAAACTATGTGCTAGGCATGGGGTGGATCCCTTCTGGGCATTATCCAGACCTGAATGCTCCAGTGGAGCTAGAAGGCTGGAGAGACTCAGCAGGATAGGAAGGAAGCAGAGGAAGTGGGGAGACCATCAAGGAAAGTTCCCACCAAGCAGGGAATATAAGAAAGCCAGACAAGCTGAAGGGCCGTATCTCCCTATACGAGGCTTCTTGGTGTTCAAGATGGTCAAATGAGGCTCTTCTCCTGGTCCCATTGCCAGTGCAAGGCTAGCTGATGGGGAAACAAGAGAGGGCCTTTTCTGTCGCCACTCCCAAGTTATGGAATGCCTTCCGTCAAGAGATCAGGCTGACCCTTTCCCTTTTATCTTTCTGCCAACAGCTGAAGAGCCATCCTTTCAGGCAGGAAAAAACTTTTGACTCTTTTATTATGATCAACACTTTCAGGCAGGCTTTTAAAAGTCATGACTGAGTCCCTGAATATTTATTTATTTATTTATTTATTTATTTATTTATTTGATTTCTACACCACCCATCTGGCCTAAAAGGCCACTCTAGGCAGCTTCCAGTGCATAAAAACAATAAAATAGGAATAGGTTTTTAAAGTTAAGATCGTTTTAAATGTTTACTTGGTTTTTATTATTCAATTGTATTTTTATTAGCATATAGTTTACAGTAATTCTTTTTTAACGTATTTATCATTCTATTATCTTCTATTCTTTTTTATCAGGGGAAAAGCAGCCTATAAATAATACAGACAAATAAATAGGGGTAGTTGGCGGGAAGGAGAAGAGAGATAAACGATTGGACTGATGCTGCTGAGTGGGGAGCCAGATTCTGATATATATGCCAATTTTGTACCTTCAAAACAACTCTTCTCTAGCTGATTATATTCCAGGTGGTAATAACTGCATCTGGTAAGGCCGAGGAGACCCCCAAAAGCCAATAACTGCCCTGAAAATGAAAGTTCTTTTAAAATCGAGGCTTGAACAATAGTTTACTATAGCTTTTAGACATAAAGCTTCTAGAAAATCTGGCGTTGCTAGGTATTATTGCAACAATTAAAAGGTTGATACTCGGATTAATTTCAGTATGATTGGAAATGGTTGGCTGATTTCATTCTGGATTTAACCCTTCTTTGGGATAAATGCCAGCTGTGAGAAATGTTAATCTTCTGATTTTTTTTCCCTAGAGGCCTGTAAAGTTCTGTAGAACTCTTAAGGAGATGTTCAAGTATCAGAATCCATGACCTGACATTCTGCCCATTCAGATTCACTTTAGTTGGTACATCATTGCGTTTGGATTACACTGCTTCACAACTACTGCTTTGAAAATTATTTTAAAATTGTCTTACAGTGTAGTGACACCTTTCTCAAACATTTCACATAGAGCCATATAGAAAACTACACTTTTATCTAAATGTCTCACATGTTCTGCTGCTGTTAAAGCAACATGTTGGTATTTCTTGGTTTGATAAACAAAATTTCCTGCACCCTATTGATTTTTAGAAAATTGCTTAAATATTTTATATTTCAACCTACCAAATGACAGGAAGATGTCTTATATCTGGTTGAAAATACTTACCAATAGAAATATAATAACCAAAATCAAAATGCTCCTTTCCTGTGGTGAAGTTGTTTTCAAGAGTTTCCATATAGATCAGTATCAAATAAATTACTAAAAATCAGGAGATGACAACAGCATGTATGCCCATCTTATGCTGAAGGGGTAATTTTTTCTGCAATTCAGTATCGCTTATCTTGATGTTGTCTGTCAAAAATATGCAAAATGAAATGTGGGTGTAATTATATATTTCTTGGTTTGGGTACAAATTAAAAGTCTACCCAAAAAAATTAAGTTTGCATCAAATTATTATTTTATACTGTACAAAACCTACTCTGAATATGATACTACTCACCCCTGGATGGCTCAGAATACTTAAAGATGAACAATTATATCTGTTCCTGAATTTCTTCAAAATGACTTAAATTTGTTTAGGAGTATATCAGCATATATGGATAAGCTTTAAAAATCTGAAATGCACAAAATAAATTGGACAAAACATACAGCAGTTTATCTTTTACATAAGCTTAATGATATTTTGGGAAACTAGGAAAATTTAGCACATAAGCTATAGTAGGATATAACTGGTATTCTGATTTTTTATTGAAAATAAACTTTTACGAAATAAGTGACCCAATATATACATACTTAGAATAAATTCTTTTTAAACAGTTTTATTAATAACTAAAGATTTAAATATTGTAAGGCATCTCCTTTCTTAACAATATTCATTTATTTTAACAAGTATTTCACAAAAAGAGATAGTATGTTAATTGTATTCAACTTTGTACAGAGTCAACTGAATTAATTTATATCAGAAGTGTTAAGAGGTTCTGTATTCTCAATATTTGGAGGAAATTCTGATGAACTAAATGTTTAGGTCCATTAGTTTACAATTCTACCCTCGGAACCTACAGAAAATAAGTTTACTCCTTCTTTCATGTGAAACCCTTTAAATATTTTAAGATACGTTTCATATCATCTCTCATTTGAGAAAGATCTCACACACACACACCCCACTATATTTAGAGATACAGAAATAAGGAAAGGTCTGCAATTACAGGATTCCCATTTTCCTGTCCTTTTCTCCAAGATCTGTGCTATACAAATTAATTAATTAATTAATTAATTAATT